AGAAAATGCTATCAGAAAGATAAATGAAGCTTTCTTTTGAAGTCCTGTTCTAGCAGGTTAAATACATTATGGTAGTTCTTCAAAGGAAGTTATCTGCTGCTCCGTTTTGCCACCAGTTTTTTAAGCTCTCCCTCAAACCTTCCAAATATCTCTGTTCTTATTTCTACTGTTCCCACTGCTTCTTGTACCTCAAGTCAATACATCATTTAATATTATTTTGGTCAGCTCTTTCTAACTCCTTCTAATAAGGAAAAGGATAATACTGCCCTACAACAAAGGTAAAAGCAAGAATGATCTGGTATACACAGTCACTAAAATACTCTGAGGGATATGCAGGGTAAAAACTAGCTTAGCCATCTGCAGTGTTCTCCCTCTGCCTCCTGACCAATTCATCACCACCAACCTTCATACAGCTCTGTAAGACACGACACCTATCAAGAAGAAAATTACCTCCCATCTTCATAAATTTTACTGCTGGCACACCTCCAGTCAGCAGCAGCAAAGTATGTAATCCTGCCCACCTAACAGGCTGTATAAAAAGCTGGTTTTTTCCTGAAAGACTGACATTAGTAATGACCTATCAAATATTTTTGTATTTTTTTTAGGAGTCCAAAGAAGCTCTAGGGTTTGTTACTTTTGGTGTTTGTGTATTTCTGAGAAAAGCTGATGTCTTTTCTGCAGTGTTTTAATACTAGTAAATATCCTTTTCTTCACTCCCTGCTGAAGCTTTTCCTTGCAGAAATAGAACAGGAGAGGATGGAAAAACTTCACCCCTAGCCACAGACATCTTTAAAACACCTTTGAGAGTTGTTATGTGTGACATTGGGATGAAGGGCAGTGACTAGCAGACATCAAAATTTTAAGGCACTTCTTCATTCTAGTTTTTGTTAATGCTTTCTGTTTCAAAACTTTAATTCCCTCTTTGTTGGAATACCAGGCTCTTTCTTGCTCCAAGGTCAGGGCGAATAAAACTCAGGAGACATTGTTTTTGAAGTCTGAGTCTGAAGTTTATTATCCTTATTTATTACAAACTCACAAGATGTGAGCTCTCTCTAACAAGTCGAGAAAGTGAGCTAAAATGGTGTCTATTCAAGGCTACTTAAGTCCTAATTATCCAATAAAGGGCTGACATCTGTATTATTTATGCTTCTAACACAATTATGGTCACCTGAAACCTGCAATGCAGACATCTTTCACCCAGAGAAAACCACCCAGATTCGTGAAGAAGAAGGTGCAAATAAGATAACTAACCCACACCCAAACTGCTCCATCTTGGCTCCCTTATATCACCATATACTAAAATCCCAAATCCAAGCTTTTTCACCCTGTGAGATCACACAATACTATCCAAACTACACACACACTGTTTCTGTGCTCTCACTCAATTTTTGAACCCTTTTCCAAGGTCTCAGGTCAAATGAGGTGTTTACTTGAGGGTTGGCACCCTTAAATTCAGAAAGCTCGAAATTTGCAGCTGTCAGAGTTCCAATATCTTTTCTGTGTAACAGGCAATTTTTATTAGAAGAAGTGGCAGACATCTGCTGGATGAAAGCAGGAAACAATGTGAACTGCATCCTTCACTGACCCTTACTCCCCTACAAAAGGAACCTACTTCAGCACAGTACAAGTATGAACTTTTTCTTTTTTTTTTTTAAACAGGGGCATATGGATATAAAATGCATTACAAGACAGTTACTAAGTAAGTGACTTCATAAACTTTCTACTACTTTTTCAGTACTCTACTACTTCAGTGACTTTCTACTACTAATTCAGCTGTTCATTGGCTGGGTTTGAGTTTACAAATGGTAAGTTTCTTTATTTTTGTAAGATGATAGAACCACAGAATGATTTGGGTTGGAAGGGATCTCAAAGATCACCTGGTTCCAACCCACTTGACTGTGGAAGGGACACTTACCACTACATCATGTTGCTCAGTGGCCCCTCCAGCCTGGCTCTGCACACTTCCAAGGATGGAGTATTCAAAGCTATCCTGGGCAACCTGTTCCAGTGCCTCACCACCCTAACAATAAAGAGTTTCTTTACATCCTACTTTGATGTAAATCTTTGGCAGACTCAGCTTCTGATGACTAGCACCATCAGGTGCCTTCCAGAAATTGTATTGCAACAATCAGAAAAGTCTTAGTTTCTTCTCTTATGTGGTAACACCAGTGTTTCTTCACTAACCTCCCATAGGCTGGCAGCTCTGCTGCATCACTTTATTTTAAATTTCATTGGCCATGAAAGGTAGTTAATTTCAGACTAAAAAGTCAAAAGCAGCATACTGAGTAATGTTTTAAGAAGGAACTTCTGTTTTTAAAACTGTCACAGTGTATGTCTTAAATACATTAAGAAAGCATTACTAATTGCATACTTCTACCATGTCAGTTGCTAGTTTTTCAGCTGTTTATGTAAGAGCTTTCATTAAATGGGCATATCATCTAGAAACAATTATTCCTGTATGTGTTTCATCATAGTATTTTTTTGTGTGTTTGCTTTGGTTTCAAAGGAACTAAGGCCTCTGTGATCATGCTGTGGGCATGCACAGGGATGCATTTGTCTGCTCTTCCAGGAAGTCTGAAGTCTTTACCTAACTGATCGAAGATATTAAGCTTACCACGAGTTTATTGAATATCAACTACCAAGCAGAGGGGAAACTGAGGGGAAAACCACGCCACAAAAGCAATCTCTATTACACACAAAATACTCACAGAAGATGATTAATTACTTTTAATAAAATTAATGCTGGAATAAACTTGCATTAAAGTTTACAACTTACCAAGAAAAAATCTAACAAGAAAACTTAAACCCAAAGCAAAATACATTTTACTGGTTCCATGCTGCCACAATTAATTGTTAATGTGGAAGCTGAATAAATTCCTTAATTTGCTTCTCTGGGCATCAGTATTAGTAGTGTAAAGGACAGAAATAGCCACTGCTATTGACTAAAAAGGCATTTAGTATTAAACAACTTCTAAGTAAGATAAGAGAAAAGACTAAACTAGAAGCTATAGTGATCATATATATTCTATACCAAGAATTATTTTATCTTTTTCTTGCAGGATGCACCATATTCCATCATGCATTTAAATTTTTACTGAAAACACAAGAACATTAACATGGTCCAGTTTTGTATTTTAATGTGGGAATTACTCTAAGCAAATACGCTTAGTTCTAAGAATAATGAATGTACTGCAAGCAAAATTCCAGTGTGAACTGTTATTGAGTAGTACTTCAGGATTTGCCAAAGTTCCTAAAAAACAGCAGAGCTCTTCTCAAAATGGATATAACAATTTATAGCAATAAGATGTTAACCCACCCCTATAAATCCATGGCATAGAAATGTTTTTTCTAGTACCAGTCAATGTTCAAAAATCAAATTTTCTTACTGAGGTGTCTAACTAAGAGTCTTATTGCATCAAAGTTATCTCAAGTCGAAAATGTGCTGGTTTACTTACAAATCATTCTAAATCAGATACCTACAGTTTTCTTTCCCTCTCTACATCATGGGAATGTAAGTATGACAAGTCAAATCCCTATGATGCTGCCTGCATGTAATTAATCAGTGTGACTTAGACTGGGCCAGCATCTGTCTGGTTTTAATTTAAAATACTTTATGGGAGACAGAGGAAATAACAGATTATTTCTTTGTGTCAGATTTGCAAGCCTGCAACTAGCCAGGGCCTCTAAACAACTCTTCCTGTTTCCTGTCCCAGTCATTACTGGCTGTGAGCAGAACTGGTAGACATTTCATGATTCTACGATTTTTTACTAGAAATGCATGGTTTGTCAAAAAAGCATCTTTACTAGTTGAAATTAGTTGTTTTTCATGAACTCCCAGTGAAACCCTGCAGAGGTTAACACCAGAAAATGGCTTCTAGGGCTCACAAACAAAGCACCTCCTTGTCAAAGGACATCTAGCTTTCCTAGATTTGCAGAATCCTAAGCCACCCTTCCACACAACAGCATGGATACAAAACAGCTGCTTGGAAATTTTGCTTGTTCGGCTTCTCCCAGATTTCCCTTTTATAGGAAATTTCAAAATTTCTATTTTTCCTTTTGGAATGGAATTTACAAGCTTAGAGGATTGGGTGCAACAGAAATGCTGTGCCAAACTCCCATACTTTGGCTAGTTTCAAGGTCAAGCACTCAATTTTTGGTTTACTTCAGGCTCTACAGGTCTGATGAGTACTCATCTTCTGCTAACACTTTTGAAGATTTTCCTCTCCCTTGATGGCAGCCTGCAGTTTGCAAAGGAAGAGAGGTCAACAACAGAAGCACCCTCTCCAAAACACTGCAGTAAATGGAGTCAGGAGGGCCACCCCTCACTCCATCTGATGACAGCAGGGAGTCACTTGGCAGGAGGAATACTGCTAGCACAAAGACTGCATGTCCACCCAAAACCAGGTCCACATGTACTCACTCAACCTGCTTCAATCGCCAGTTCAATTCCAATAGTTATAAATGCTCCTCTCATCTGACTAGAGCTTGAAAATAATGACAAAGACGACAACTTTCCTTCATGCTTTTCTTTCCTCTACAAGCAGCACATTTTTCTGACTTTGGGCCTTGACTTCTTCCTTTCTTCCTTCTCAGCAGTTTTGCATTGGGCAGAGATACTGCTTCACTTCAATCCCTCCATAATCTCATCATATACTGGCAACATTATCAGTACCTGGCTTGGGCCTGTATGGCCTGGCCATATCTGTTTCAGATTTAAAGGTAGGTAATACAATCAGTGGGACTTCACAGAAGGAAGACAGATTTACTCCGGCAAGAAAGTAACCTTCAAGTCAATTGCAAAACAACCCTAATGTGGCTTACATCAAGCAATGAAGAACCAAAAATCTGCTTACAGAAAGTAATACACTGATAATTAAATAATACTTTGCATACTTCAGACTTGAAAGTCTTGCCATCTGTTCATAATGGTACACACCTCAATAACATAGTAACAAATGAACAGAAGACTTTTGAAAGAAAATAGGTTGATTTTTACTTACCCTGATTTTTGATTCAATTCTCTGTCACTGTTGAGAAGAACCGTTTCCTCCTTCATTTCTTGTTCTGTTGCTACATGGTTCCCAAGCCTCTGTTGAGAATTTGCTTCCCAGGTACTATCACCACCAGCTACCTGCAACTCTGATGTTCCTGCAATGCCCGAACTCACATTCTCAGCAGCCAGGCCATCTGAAGGAGAACAGCTTTCATGTTCAAAAGGTTTCTGAAGGGGAGTTTCTACCTGAAATTCTGTCCAAGTGTCAAGAATCAGTTCCTGTGCTACAACAGATGGCAGTTCTTCAGGATGTCTGGACCCTGATTTTGGCATTTCTGTCTTGGCAGAAATTTCTTCAGGTGATAGGTCACTTACTTCATTTTGTCCCAATATAATCCAACCCTCGTCTTGCCCACAGCTTTCCTGTGATTTCCTTTCACCATCCAGCTTTTGAGGCACAGCAGAAGAATTTTTCTCTTCTAAGTGAACAGTGTCCCATCCAGTCCCACAAACAAGATGATCTTTGCTTTCATTTGAAATGGATATTGCCTGAAAGGCATCCAAGGAGCCTGGTGAAAAGCCTTCATGGGATTCTTGAAATGCAAAATCAATTTTGCTTCTTTCAAGGGTATCATTTGTTGCAGGTGTATTTTTTTCCTCAGTAACAAGGATGTAATCCATCTCCAGTGAAGCTGGGAGCACCTGCATCCTCACATCTTCTTTACTGTCTGTACTTTCCAGTTCAGGGCTCTTATGGGAATTTCTCAGCTTTTCCTCCGTACAAAGTGGGGAGTCAGTGCCAGTTTCTAAAAGAACAGGCAAATAGAAACTCTTTTTAATTTCTATTAATTGCTGATTTAGTCACCATAGTATGCTTTAATCAGTTCTGTGAGATAAAGCTCTTTTCAGTTTTCTGTGCTCTGTTAATGTGTACTTGAATTTTACAACATCATCACCATTATCATTATTGTTAAAGGTTATACATTAACACGGCAATCATCCCCAAGGTACAAACAATTCAGTGTCCCATAGGCTAGGCCCTGTACAAACAACAGAAATTATATTACTACTTCACTGTTTAAAAGCTTTAGATCTGTCTGTGATGCCTTAAGTTTTAGCTTTCATATTTTCCAGATTCTGTACTGCATTAGTATATGACTCTGAACTTCATATGAAGTGTTAGCAAGTTCTCCTCACAGTTTAGTCAGACAAAATGATCCATTTTCAGCCTGAGAGCCAAGGACATCGTTACAGCCTCTGGCCCAAAAAGTGTCAACAACAGCAATTTGAAGAGAGCAGTCTGGGAGGATGGGACTTCATAACCTGAAGCTGTAATTGGACAACTAACCCCAATATGTAAATGGACCAAAACTTATAAAAGTGTGAAAACTCGTGACCAGTTGTCCATCTTGGGTCCACCTTGGGTGGAGCCACGGCCGGGCTCTTCTACTGCCCAAGATGTATGCTTCAAAGGCCTTTTAATAAATACCTACTTTATTCCTTTTACTCTGTCTAACCTCTTTTCCAGGTACCCTCTCAAGGCATCATCTCAAAGAACGACACTAAAGCTCTTCCTACAATAAATGTCTTGTACATTACGGAGACACACAAACTCCACACTTCACTCAAAGCCTCTTCCTCATAGACTTCATAAAAATACTTCCCTCTTTTCTCTCTCCTATGTATTTGCCCTGGAAAGCAGATTTTCTTACCGTCACATGATCTTCTATCTCCACCTGGTGGTGAGTCAGGATCAGCTGTTTCTGTTTCAGATTTTCCTGTCAAGAAATCCGTATATGGGGGGGTTACTTCACACATGGAGGGCGATGGTACTGGGGTGAGATTTTCCTCAAGACACTCCATGGATGTCTCAGACACCTTATCTTCGGTCTTTAGGATGCCCTCTGCACCTTCCAGAGCAGCCGGCAGTGGCAATCGTTTTTCCAAAGAAACACTGTCATAAAATGGCTGCTGTAACAAGAGTTCACCGTTTGCATACTCTCTGCTGCCAGAGGGTTCAGCGTCAAAAGATGCAGAGGATGGTGGAGTACACACTGTTGGTGATTGGTCATTAGGTATTTCCTTAAACACAGGAACACAATTTTCAATTACAGCTTCATATTCTTTTGCTGTGTCATCGAACAGTTGATTATTTGAATGAGATTCATTACCTTCATTACCACCAGGTAGAAAGCATTTGGGAAAAAGTGTCCGTTCATCCTCTGATTTCCCTTCTGCTGCCTCACTGTCTAGCAGTGTCAGTATGTTCATTCCACCACATGTGCCTGCCAGGACATTAGTCGCTGAGGTGTCCCTGATACTATGTGCTATCCCTGCGTCAGAGTCATCCACACATTCTTCTGGCCTATCTAGCTCAACATCAGTTATTGCTGTATGGTCAGTATCAGAATATTTTACAACTTCACCCAAGGCACTGATTTCTTTTAAGCTTTGTTCTTTCCTATCAGGATGATTGAAATCCATGGGAAGCAAATGCATTTGAGAGGTTGATATTTGAGCTGTATCAGTTGGTGCTCCTTGATGGCTTGCATTAGTGAAACTTCCATGGAACGTGTCTTTCACATCGAAGGATGCTACTTTTGTAACTTCGCTGGCATTTTCAGCTGACTCAACAGGGTCAAAACCCAGCTTATTTTCTAGACTGTATTCGTCTGGAATTGCAAATTCAGGAGGCTCCTGAAGATTAGAAGAGATAAGCTGATAGAATTCATTGGTCTTTACTGGTTCATAGTCCTGGGGGCTACCATTTTCAGAGTGCATCTCATTCTGCATTACCAACTGACACTTTGAATCAAAATGTGTCTCTTTATTCACATTTGATCTTGTATGAATTGGCTGACTGTCTTCAGGCTCCACAGCAATCTGAGAAGATGGGACAGAGGCATGTTTAGCTCCATATTCCTGGCACACATCAGGACTGCTTGATGACTCTGAACCATTGTCTTGGTCACAGTGACTTAAAATATCAGGATTTTCACCATCTGATTTCAAAGTGACAGTCTGCTCAGCATTAGTCCACAGGTCAGGTTCCACTGAAAACTGTTGATTACTTCCCTGTGTGTTATCCTGTAAAATATCTGGGATAATTGCAGTTTGGGGAACTAATATATTCCACTCTGGACTTGACTTTTCTGCCATTTCAAAAGATAAGTCTTCTACAGTGAAAGCATCTGGCACAGAGTAGTGCACTCCTTCACAGGTGTCCTCCTGCTGTCCTTGAGGAGTAAGATTTGCATTTCCCTCATCGTCTTTTGGTAGATCCAGTACAGTGATTGCTTCAACTGCTGTATTTGGTATAGCTTGTTCCTCATCTGAAAAAGAGTTCTGTGGAATCAGTTGATTTTCCTCATCTGCAGAAAACAACTGCTCTATCAACTCCCTTTCTTTTTTATCCAGTGTGAAAGAATCAAATTGATTGAACTGTAAAGTGTCTTCATTTATCTGACCATCAGGACTATTGATAGAATGTACTAGTCTTTCATTTTCTTTTTCATCAGAGTACAGGGGGGCAGGTGGATTTTCATCATTACCTGTATCTGTGGAATGTGTTTCTGTTAGTTCTTCATCCTGTGAAGGGGAGCCACAGGAGTACTCTTTACTGTTTCCTAGCTGATTTGTTGCAGAGTGACTTGACACGGAATACTGATCTTCCAATTGCTTTTCTTCACAGGGCTGTGAACTCCACCATTCTGAACTATTATCTAGAAAATCAGATGTTCCTACTGTGGATTTTGGACTAGTTCTTGAATCAGCTTCCAGTGACATACTCCACCTATCTACAGCTTTTGAAGAATGCTCTTCTTTATCACCAACAGCAGAAGTTGATGCAGGATCTTCATTCATTTGATACAAATGTGAGTCTTCCCCACTATATGGCTTTTCATTGAAAATACTCACGTGAGTTATTTCGTCAGGTGTTTCACTGTGGCCTGTAGTAGATTGAGTAGTCTTATTATGATCAATAAAGTCAACAGTCCCATCCTCCTGCAATACCTTTTTGCCTTCAGTTGATTCAGAATTTTCACCAAAGGTGCTTACCAGGACCTTCTCTCCCACCTTAGTTTTTGCACCTAAACTGTCTTCATTAGGTCCAGGACTTGTTGCATTGGACTGATCACAATCCTCTTCATTTTCAGCCCCTTCGTGCTGTTTGTTTTCACACACTGAATCTTCATTAATCACTTCTGGACATGCCTCTGAATTCTCTGAATCCTCATTTATGTCAGGACTTGATAAAGAAGATACAGTATCGTCATCTACATGGGCATTCCAAAAATCTAAGCTTTTAGGAATTTTGTTCTCTTCGCCGCTTGCTTCAAATCCTTCTTCATGTTCATTCCCAAATTCCTGCTTTTTAAAAGAATCCGCAAGATTTTTATTATTTTTCATCTCCCACACATCCCTGCTCCTTTCATGATGACTAGCAACTGGAAAGTCTCCCCACACATTCACAGATGCATCACTTAAGTCAGGACTTGTTCCACTTGAGTGTGTATAATAATTTATTGAATTACTCCACATATTATCTTCTTCCAAATAGCTTTTGATCTGTATATCTTTTGAAAGGCTGCTTGTGGTATTTGCTATTTCAAGGATTTCGCTTGCCTCAGGACTTGTTCTAGGAGACTGCAAATCTTCACGTGGCTGTGAATCCCAAGCAGTTTGGAGAAAATTGTCATTAAGCACTGCAAATGGCTCTCCACGAAGATTCGTAGCAGTTTCTACATTTTCAGAGTTTTCATTTCTCCCAGAAGCTATTTCAAATGAAAATGAATTTTCTACCACAGACATATGTGTAATATCAGGAACACTAACAAATCCAGAAGGATTTTTCTTAAACTCATCTGTGAAAGAATTTTCATTGGTCTTCATCAGTTCTAAGCTATTTTTAAAATATACTAAATCAGAATTACAAATGTCTGGATGGTTAGGAGACACTTCATGTAAGCATTCTTGCCCTTCTCCCAGAGGTTCTTGTGGTTTATCCATCAAAGGAATTGATATGGCTTGGCCACAACCATTCTTTCCAGAGTCATTCCAGACACCTGAGCTTCCAGGTAATTTAGAAGAATTATTTTCAGGATTATCACTACCCTTATCAGAACTTTCAGAAATACTTTCCATCTTGGGACTTGTTGCATCCTCTGTCACCGTACCCTCTTTTCCAGCTGCCTCAGAAAGCAGCTGTGACATTTCACTATAATTGTAATTTTGTAGTAAGGGGTCATCAAAAAATTCATAATCTCTGCCTCCTTCAGAAATACTTGAAGATTCTAAACTGCACTGCAACACATCTTTTCTCTCTTCCTGACTAACTGGATTGCTTTGATTGGAAAATGACACATTCTCTGTGATTAATGCTTCCAAACTAAAACTATTTCTCAGTTTTTCTAGGGAGCTGGCAACTTCACTTGTTGGCTCATTTTCTTCCAAATCTGTTTTATCTGAAGATTCATTGTCCTCTTGCACTGGTTTATTACAAATGTCATTTATCATCTGCTGCCCACTTGACACATGTGTTCTCTTACATTCTTCTCCTTCCTTAGAGATGACAGTGGCATTATCCCAGCCTTCCTCACAGCTCTGCTCACTCTGTAAACGCCATGAGTCCAGCTGTTGCACTGAATCCTCAATACCCAGCTCTTCATCAATACTGGCAGTGTCTTGTGCTGCATTCTTACTAAGCATCTCACTCCCTAAGTCACATATTTTCAGATCCAAACCATTCTCATTTTCTGAAGTTGGCGTAGAGATGTTTGTGTCTTCTACACTGCCCACTGCTTCTGCCTTGTCAGCTGCTCTCTGTCTAGTATTTAATTCATTCTGTGATGGTGATAAGTCATTCACTGTTTGATTATATGCCAGTATTACTCTTCTGCTTTCAGATACAGGAAAGTTATTTTCACTGCTACATGTTTCAGCTGAGAAACATACATCAGCTGTTTGTTCTGAATTAAGGCAAGGTTTAGCAGAGGCAGAAAGAACTGGAATTTCAGAATTTCTTTCTTGTAACTGGGTGATGTTATTTAGGGGAGTGTTCCAGATATCTGTATTTCTAGCATTTGAAAAAGGCACATTGTTAGGAGATAACGGTTCCTTACTTGATTTCTCAAGTACTTTTGACTCAGCCAAGTTTTTGTTCATGAATTTACCAGTAACTGTTTCTTCTTCAAAATCCTTGTCCTCATTTTCTCTTTCATCTTCCACATATGTAGGTGATATATATGAATCAGATGTTGAATAATTGGTGTCTGGTGGAGAAACAACTAAATCTTCTGCTATATTTGAGGAACTAAGATCCGAGTTTTTATATAAGAAGGTATCCTCCCATGGCACCACTACTTCTGTTACTTCTTTTCTGATGTTTTTATCATACATATTCCAGCTATCTATATTTTCAAATTGTTTTGGTCTATGTTTAGGATCTCCAAATGCAGTTTTTTCCCCTGTGTTCAGCTTGGAATTATTTTGCATATTGTTGAAAACAAAAGTTACATTTTCAGATTTGCCACAGTCTTCTATTGAATAACACCTTCCTTTATCCCACACTTCTGGATTTTCAGTTTCATTGCCCACTGTGATTTCTGAAGAATGTGATAAACCAGTTTTTGATATGGCCCATTCCTCAGGAATATTCACCGCTTTTAACTCTCTATCTAGTTTGCGCATGTTCCATACATTTTCTGAGGATTTACCAGCATTTCCTTCATCAAACTCAGTCCAGATTTTGTAAGAGTCTCCAGCTAGCTGGCTATCTTTTCCTTCACTGCTACACCATGCATCTGACATCACAGGTGTTGGTTGGCTGACCTTCCACAGGTCTGTAAAGCTCTCCACCTCTTGCTTTGTCTCATCTAAAGAAGCAGTTTGCAAACAGGAATGTTCACTGTTTTTCTCTTGATTCTCATTGTTCCAGTTATCTTCTTTAAACTGATTATCCCATAGACCTGCTTTCATATATTCCATTTGTTTTGGCTGTTTTTGGAGGAACACAGAATCTGAGGCTCTTCTATCAGTATGTTCTCGTAGCAAAGGACTTTCTTTAGAATCTTTCCACAAGACAGGACTCTGAAATACAGATTCCTGTTCACTTGAACTCCATGCATCAGCATTTCTGGAATCTAGATCAAAGCCATCCCACCAGCTCCCATATCTAACACGAGATGGAGAGTAATTTGTGCCATCTATTTCATTAATTTTTTTTATGACATCTTGTGAGAAAATTAAAGGCTGCCCATTATCTAATGGTGAAGTATCCACAAGACTATTCATAGGAGTTGGTGGAATTCTTGAATCAGCAGATTTCAACACTTCTGGTGAAGAAGAATCACCTTCAACTAAATCAATCAAACTTGAAGTTTTCTCACACATTTCTCCTGTATTCTCATCAAATTCAGCCAGATTGTCTTCCTCAATTTTTGTTGTAAGTAAGTCAGTTGAATACTTTACTGTATCATTTTCTGATAGGTTTGTCTCATCAAGTTTTTTCTTCAGAGTAAGCTGATGCCCTTCTGATGAATCACTATTGAGAAAATAGTCATCTGCTGGGGAACAATCAACAGAGCGAGATGACTGAGATGGAGCTGTAACCATGGGCACTAGATCAAAATTGAAAAGACCAAAGTTATCGCTATTGCTTCCTGACTGAGACTTTTGCTCTTCAGCTATTGCTCCTTCAGGAATAGGGCTGTAGGAATCAAAGCCAGGCAGAAGACTGTGATGTGCAGCACCTTCTGCAACAGGGCTATCATCACTAAGAAAAACAGAACTCTCCTTGGAAGACCGGCTGCTTCTAATGGTAGCCAAGCCACTGTCTGGACTCACAAGGTCTACATTAACATCAATGTGGGCTTGCACAGACCCATTTAGATCTTGAGGATTTTCTATAAAATTGGCAGAACTGGGCTGTGGTTCCACATCAGAACCATATAACTCCATAATACCAGAAGATCCTTGTGAAAGTGGAGCACTTCCAGCAACAGCTTCAGTAGAAGAAGTTCTACTGTTTGATACCATTTCTGGTTGCCTTCTATTTATAACTTCCTTAATTAGAAGAAGAATTTGATCACAGGTCACTGAAGAATTTTCTTGATGATAAATGAGAATTTGGTCACATTCACATTCTAGAGGATCTAGCTCCAAACAAGGATTTTGACATTCTTCTAATTCACAGCAGATCTGTTGAAAAATGGGGTATTTCAGAAGTTACTGCAGTCATGGACATAGGCACATATTGACTTTATCATGTAATACAGCCATACCTATCTCTTCCTATTAACCTATTGCTTGGCCATTTCACTGCAGCATCCTTATTATGATCCCCAAATAGATTATGTATTACAAAAGAGGATCAAGACAAAATATTTGTCATATGGTTGGTCAAAAATTGTACCATTTGACTTTTTGGTTCACTTCTTGTTAGAAAATCCAAATAAAATGTTTGGTTGTTTCCTTAAGAAATCTGAGTAAAATTTATTAATTAATTTAGGAATGTATTTCTAGACTGGGATAATTATATTAGTAAAATAAATAAATGCATTTATATTGGTCTTGAAAACCATGGAGTCACTTAGCCACCTGTCCCAAAAATCATAAGTTTTCAAGACTGATAAAAAGGTTCAGAAAGTTGCCACTGAGATAGTCTCTTCCATCTGGGGACAAATATAGTTTAAAAAAATGGAGCGCACCTAGCTCTGGACAAATGTACACAATAATAATGATTTGTTTTGATTTCAGAGCTTGAATTCTTTAGGAATAACATATACATATATGAGTTCTGGTCATTACCACTTACAAGGTGTTTGCTTATCACTCATTGCCAAAGACACATTTGTATAACTCACAGTACAAACCCAAGTCAAAACTGGGGAAAAAACATTTTAACTGAATTTAAAAATCTGCCTCTTTCAGTATTTTTCATAACCTTTTTCAATTAGCTTGGTCTGAAGCAATAATATCATAATCTTTCATTCTCTTACCATATAAATAATGCAGCCATTTCAAATAGCTGCTCAATTGCTGGTCAACTGTTGCTATGTTTTGACCTCACTTAATTAATCAACATCTTGATATACACTACTTAAAAAAACCTCAACTTTTTTTTTTCCAGGAAATGGAAACAATTCTGATTCTTTTTTCAGGTACTTACTTGATTGCCTAGCTCTACATTTTCCGAGTATATTGCTATTTGTTGTTTTGTTTGCTTCTCATCTGACAAGCAGTTGGCCAAAATGACAAGTACGTCAAACCCATATTTATCTATGAATGCTTTCAGATCACCAATGAGACTCCTGTGTAATTTGCAGTCCTGAAAAACATTGAAAAATTAAAAGAAATGTCAGCAACTTTTCTGGTTCTTTTCATCCAAATATGTTGTAAAAATAGCTGTAAATGTTAAAAAGCATCAGCAGGTCTAACAAGGAAGAAAATTCCATTTCACTTGTCAAAACAACTATGTACCTAATAAAAATCAAGAACCAGTCCCATAGCACAGCAATGGAAGAACACTAGAATACTAAATGCAGGTTTTGCCTTCCTAATCTGTTGGTGAAACATAATTCTTACTTGTTCCTGCTACCTGCTTTTGCAACATTGATTAAAAGCACTCCAAGCTCTAGTGTATACCCATGACAAAGAAACTGGGCAAAGGGAGTAGGAGACTTGCATGGATGAGCATGGAACTTGCAGTAAAACTCAAGAAAGAAATATATGCAACCTGGAAGAAGGGAGAGACCGCACGGAAGGACTCTAGGAACATCGAGTTGCAGGGATACAACGAGAAAGGCCAAGACCCACTTGCAACTCAGTCTGGCAAGGGCCAACAAGAAGGGCTTCTACGATTTTATCAGCAACAGAAGAAAGATTAGGCAAAATGCAGGGCCACTGCAAAATCAGATGGGTGTTCTGGTGGTGGAAGACAGAGAGAAAGTAAAATTACTGAAATGCCTTCTTTGCTTGTCTTTATTGTTAAGACCAGCCCTCATGAGTCGCAGACCTCAGCAGTAAGAGAGGAAGGCTGGAGAAAGGAAGGCTTCCCCTTGGCTGTTGAGGGTTGGGTTAGAGATCAGCTAGGCAGACTTAACACCTTAAATCCATAGGATCCACCCACAGGTGCTCAGAGAGCCAGCAGACCTTGTTGATCGGCTGCTTTCCAGCATCTTTGAAAAATCATGGAAAATGGGAGAATTGACTGATGATTCAAGGAAGGTCAATGTCATTCCTGTCTTCAAAAATGGCAAGGAGATCCGGGAATCTACCAGCCAACCTCAGTTCCTGTAAAAGTGATGGAACAGATAATTCTGGAGATCATCAAAAAGCATATAGGAAACAAGGTCATCAGGAACACAGGAGTGGTAAGGATGGATTCACTGAAGGCAAGTCAGCTTGGACCAATTTGATAGACTTCTATGATGGCACAGCAGGATGGGTCGACAAGGAGAGAGCAGTGGATGTTGTCTACCTGAGCTTCAGCAAGGTTTTTGATACTGTCTCCCATAACATCCTTAGAGAAAGGCAGTGAGGTGGATCAGGAACTGGCTGAAGGCAGAACTCAGAGGGTCAGAGGGTCATGGTCAGAGCAGCAGAGTCCAGCAGGTGGCCTGCAGACAGTGGTATTTCCAACGGGGGATCAATCTTATTCAACTTGTTTTTCAGTGACCTGGAGGAAGGGATCAAATGCAGGTTTGCTGTTGACACTAAAGAGGAAGAATTTCTTTACACTGAGGATGGCAGAGCACTGGAACAGCTGCCTGAAGGGGTTGTGGAGTCTCCCTCTCTGGAGACATTTAAAACCCCACTGCACGTGTTCCTTTGTCACCTGCTTTAGATGACCCTGCTTTGGCAGAGGGCTTGGACTGGATGATCTCCAGAGGTCCTTTCCAACCCTTACAATTTTGTGATTCTGTGATACTGGTCTATTACTATTTCTTGAATAAATCACGTTTTTTTGCTAGGAAAAGAAATACTTTATGAAATTTGTCATGCCAATATCTCATCTAAGAAATAAATGTTAAAATAATAGCATTGAGAAGTATCCACAAGCTAATTTAATTTTGCAGCCCTTCATATGTATCCATGATGATGTCACCCTATGGGTAACACACAATTACTACAGATTGCTCCTGCAGATCCTCTTGTTCCTGCTCTTTGAATTGCGCAAATCTCAAAAAAACTACACACACACACACACAAGTAAGAACTGAGGCAAAGTATTTTTATACTCCTTGTATCAAAAAAATTGCCTTCTTTCACACACACCCCACCCCAAATACACAGGAGGTAAACTTTTATGTTTCCTATTCTCATTAATGCTTGGACCAGCCCAGTTATGTAAAACTTGAAACAAAAACCATACATCTACCTTTTTCAACTGGGAACATAATGTACAAAGTATAAATGTAATTTTTCAGCCCTCACTTCTGATAACTACTGGTCAACAAAGACTTAGAAATTTCATTTTCTCCTTTATGTTTCTGCTGTTTGTATTTAAATAATTTTTTGTCATTTTCTAGCCAAGACTTCTTTTGATGCTGCCAAGCTACACTGGCCGTGAACAAACAGCAGTTCATCATGAACATAGCACAACTGTACCTGCAGACTGGCATGTTATTCCCTTGCATCAGTCTCCTACCTAATAAATTACTGTTTTGATTACAAATATATAAACACTATTTATTAATCTGCTCAAATATGTCCAAAAATGCATGGCCCTCCCTCTAAGTTAAACTTAAAAAAAAAAAATCTTGTTTGTCAAATGCTTTGGAAGTAGATTCCTTTCTGCAGCTAGAGATGAAGTTTCCCTTTGATGTTTGTATAGCATCTAAAAATGAGGTTTATATCAAACTCACACAGATAAATGCACAAACAGTCAGCTGGCAGTTTACTGGTGGACATTCATATGTGAAATCTGAATAGAGGGTTATGGTAAGGAATTATTCTGAAAAAGCTTTGAATATCCAAACAAGTAAAATCTTCTGAAGACACAAGTATCATGTAGATTAGAAACAGTTCCAGAATGTCCTTGAGCATGAAACAGTCACTTCAATTATCCCATTCCTAACTGCAGCTGGAACAATTAAAATCTGTTCAAATAAAAAATCTGAACTATAGCAGATTCAAAACCATCTGAAAATTCCTGATAACTCACCTAAACAACCCTAGAGTTTATTCTTTTAAACTAGTACCAGCAACAAAATTCAGATACTATATTTACCGGTATTCAAACATCCAAGTAAATAATGACAGTTGCAAACAAGTCTTAAAAACTACCAAAGGCCAAATACTGAAAGATATGATAGATATATGGACTCACCCATGAATTTGATAACCTAGATTAACAAGCAGAATGTATTATAAATGCTTACAGAAAATGAAAAATTTCCTTCAAAAATGAAAAAATTCAAATAATTTCAACAGTTAAGCTAGTACATCCCAAATTAATTACATGCATTTAAAATATGCTGTTGATGAATTAGTATAATAGGAGATATACTGACACAGTTAAAGAATGACAAAGAGGTCAGTTAATTGGTCATTTTTATACACTCCTTTTCTTTTACTAACATGTGCTGGCTTTAGTATTAAGTAATATTTACATAGTATACAGCAGATAAACAGTGTATATAAACATTACTAGTTGTTATAATGCCCTCTAAATAACTTAGAAAAATTAATTGTTAGCATGCTTGAAATGTATGTACTTGAAATAAATAGAATCTAGTAGTACATGTATTTGCATAGTTAATAGCAGTATAACTACTGGAGTAATTTAGTGTCATAACATGTAATAAAATGGTGCTTTTAAGTAATGCATATAAATAGTTTCTGCTGAACATAGCAATATGATGAACACTCTGAAATTTACAAATATTTTTCATATCAGTTAGGTAAGCAGAATGAGAAAGTTGAAGAAATCCAAAGACAGACTTTTGTAGGATTTTTCAACATGACCTGTTTAATAATTATGTATTTTTGTTGAGAAATACCATTTTATATAAGTTCCACATTGCTGGGAAATTTCTTTCTCTGAAACTCTATTTTCTTTCTTAATTCTCAATAATTTCTTTTTAAGTTTAACAGATAATGTAACTATAAACATGGATGATCCTTTAAAAGAGGCAAAATATCAAAGAAATATCTGAAGAGAATCTGTAACTTCTCTGTCTCTTGCAACACTGATTCATGAAATCAACAGCCAATTACCCAAGTGATCACTGCAAGTATACATTACACACACTTCTGACTCTTCTAAGCTAACTGTGTCAATATTAACCTGACCAAATTAAGAACAAACTGTCTCTTTTGTTCTTCACACTTCTCACATGGGGAGCACAATATGGCTTTTGTCAGAGGTGCTCCATCATTTTGGCTCAAGGAAACTGTCAGTACAGTTTGGGATTCGTTATTCATGGGCAGATACCCTGATGGGTCTAATGAAGCCTTTCTGCTGACAACTCATTTGCTAAAAATACCCAACCATCACAAAATATAAATGAGGAATATTGTATCCCATTACAATTTTCACAACTGATGCAATTATCACAATACAGAAGTCATATATACTGCTACCGCATTCTCTCAATATTTCATGGTCGGTACTTCTGCATGCCAGTTTATTTCTATGTGATCACTGATAAAACTTTATGACATACTTAAATTGCAATATAATAGGGTAAACACCAAAGATACAGCACACATGCCGAGCTAGCAGGCTGTGTGCCATTTGTTGTAAATCCAGCTAATTACTAGAAGCCCCCTCCTTTATTAAAAAAAAAAAAAAAAAAAAATTAAGAAGAAAGGCAAAAGAGTGCAGAAAATTACTCAATTTTTTATAAAAAGTTTTCAGGTAAAGGTCAGTAAAAACTGAAAGAACAGTACAAACAGTATGATGTTTACCAGACTCCAGAAACACAAACTAGTGTGTATTTTTTGTTTTACCTCTTTTTTTCTTCTATCAGCACCACTGGTAAAAATGCTCTATTAAAAATCCCTACCTTCTCTGTAAGGAAAGACTGCATTTTTCTATCATGCATTTTGAAATACCAAATATCAGCTCTTCTGCACTGATATTTATCAGTCTTCTGGGTAGAACAAAAATAGCAGTAAAATCTGCTTTCCTTGTGTCAACAGTTTCCAAAGACAGGTCCTAAACTAAACAGTAGGAGAATTGGCATCTTTGAGCCTTGTTATCTTGCTCCATGACAACCCCAGTCACACATTCAACTTTAGGCATTCCAAACTTAAGTTGGAATGAATTTGAACTGGAAATACTCTAGCATTGTGGAAAGTTCATATTGAATAACGCAATGA